TTTTCTTTAGCTGCTGGTATAAGATTAATCTTTGTGAAGAATGTGTGTGTGCTTAAGTAGCTTTTGATATATATGTTAACCTTTTTATTATATTTTGGGGGGGTCTTTTACATTCTTACGTTTGTATGTGTATACTTGACCTGTCTTGAATGAATAGTGTGTAAAATTTTCCTATTATTAGTGTGTTTGATCTCTTTCTCCTTGCAATTCCTGAAGTTTATATTTTATGTAGTGCTGTGTAGTTTGCCTCATATATATTTACAATTGCTATATTGTCATTGCAGAATGTGACTTTTTTTTAAAGATTTTATTTATTTATTTGACGGAGAGAGACACAGTGAGAGAGGAACACAAGCAGGGGGAGTGGGAGAGGGAGAAGCAGGCTTCCCTCTGAACAGCAAGCCCAATGCGGGACCTGATCCCAGGACACTGGGATCATGACCTGAGCTGAAGGCAGACGCTTAATGACTGAATGTGCTATTTTTCACATTATAAAGTGTCCTTTGTCTCACTGAATATTTTCTGGCTTGCTTCTTTAGTATAAATATGTTCTAAATATTGCATGGGGCATACTTACACCCCCAATTATTATTTATCTGAAATTCAAATTTAACTGTGCATCATATATTTTATCTACAATGCTAAATACAGACAAGTCCTAGAAATAAGGATCATTGCCAGTACCCAGACTGTGCAAACTAAATATCAGTTCTCACTAAAAGCAACTAGGCATGGCATCTTGGAGACATGACAGATCCTGCGTGTACAGATGAGTCTAGAATATTTTATCATACCAGAAAGAAAGGCAGCAATGAAATGTCTCAGGAGTCAGTTTGAAGAGGCTTCTACTCCACAAGAGTGCAGAGACATCTATAAACCAGGCTCAAGTTTTTTCCTCCTCAGTGAACTGGTGATATAGAATTCCCCATGAGGCCATAGGAGCTGTGGCCCTATGGGTGATTGTGCAACTAACTTGTGCCTTTAAGAATCTGTTTGAGCTTGACCTTATGTGTACCTCTTTATTGATCATAGAGTGCTACTATACATGCCTAAATTTAGGGCTTGGTGGGTCAGACAACACCCAGTTCATAATGGACAGCTTAGGTAGCTTGGTAACTTGATGGTCCATGATCAAGAAATCAGTCTCCAGGGGCACCTGGGTGGCTCAGTCGTTAAGCGTCTGCCTTTGGCTCAGGTCATGATCCCAGGGTCCTGGGATCCAGCCCAGGGTTGGGCTCCCTGCTCAGCGGGAAGGGCCTGCTTCTCCCTCTCCCACTCCCCCTGCTTGTGTTCCTTCTCTCTCTTTGTCTCTCTTTGACAAATAAATAAACAAAATCTTAAAAAAAAAAAGAAAAGAAAAGAAAGAAATCAGTCTCCACTGTGGTCCAGGAGCAAACCAGAGTTGCTTCTCAGAAATAAAAAAATGACATGTTTTTTTCCCCACTCCTAAAGGACTATGACTGTGATTCCCTTATAAGTTCCATCAAAGGTTACATATATTACTCTTACCTATAATGGACACTTCAAGCACCATCAAATCTGTTGCATCATTGTGGTCCATGGGTAAAAGAGCTTGCATAGCAGCTTGACCTATTTAGAGCCTTCTGCTCTCACTCCTACTCAAACCTGTAGTCTTTTGAGTGACACAGTAATTGGGTCAGAGTAACATACATGCTCTAATGAGGTGTATGTTGTCTCCAAAATCCAAAAAGGACCCCTAGGCATTGTGCCTCTTAGTGAGACAAGTCAAGATTCAGCAACTTCTCTTTCACTCTGGAAATGACATCTCTAGATGCCCTGACCTACTGGGCCCTTAAAAGTTTCACTGAATGGCAGTCTCCTGCAATTTTTAATTTTAGGATTTATTTTCCTCCCAAATCTTTCATGTGCCTTCTCAAGGTGACTATAGTATAGTTGACCCTTGAACAACACAGGCTTGAAATGCATAGGTCCACTTATATGTGGATTTTTTATTTTTTAAAATTTATTATTATTTTTTAAACATTTTATTTATTTATTTGACACAGAGAGAGGGAGATAGTGAGAGAGAGAGAGCACAAGCGGGGGAGCGGCAGGCAGGCAGAGGGAGAGGGAGAAGCAGGCTCCCTGCTGAGCAAGGAGCCCGATGCAGGACTTGATCCCAGGACCCTGGGATCACGACCTGAGCCGAAGGCAGCCGCTTAACCGACTGAGCCACCCAGGCGCCCCATATGTGGATTTTTAAAAAAATAAATACAGTAGAGTACTGAAAATGTATTTTCTCTTCCTTATGATTTTAACATTTTCTTTTTTCTAGGTTACTTTATTGTAAGAATATAGCACATAATACATATAATATACAGAATATGTGTTAATTGACTTAACATTATTGGTAAGGCTTCCGGTCAACTCAACGCTTCTGTTATTCATAGTTAAGTTTTTGGGGAGTCAAAAGTTATATGCAGATTTTTGACCACACAGGGCATAGGTGTCCCTAACCCCCCGTATTGTTTAAGGGTCAACTGTGTTTGTTATTTCCCGCTCACCAAGTAGAATCAGCAGGGTATTATTCACGATAGGACATTGGCGTGATGTCTTTGAAATGGAGCAGCAATCAAAGTCCTCGTGGACTAGATTATGACGTAAAGCTAGAGAGTCCTAGGGTGAAACGATGAATGTATTGCTTGTCTTGGCAACTGAATGAAAACTGCTTTTGAGGGCCTTTAACTAATAGGCATAAAGTAAAAGCATTAGCCAGATCAATAGCTGCATATAAGGTGCCAGAGATGATGCTGATTTACTCCACCAATGAGAGCATATCTGGAAGAGCAGCTGCTACTAGAGTTGCCATCTAATTAAATCTATGACAATCCACTGTAATTCTTCATCCATTTGCCTTCCCTATAGGCCAAATAGGGGAGATAAATGGAGGTGTGGTGAGAATCACCACGCTGCATCTTTCAAGTCATTGAGGGTGGCAGTAATCTCTGCAATTCCTCCAGGACTATAGTATTGCTTTTGGTTTACTATTTTCCATGGTCGAGAAAGTTCTAGTGCCTTCCACTTGGTCTTTCCTACCAGAATAGGAAAGTGGTTCCCTTTCTGGGATGAGGGAACCACTGTGGATATTCTGCCAGTTGAATATGTCTGTTCAAATCCTGCTTTCTGAAACTGGGGAAATAACCGCAGTAACCTGAGGAGCTCACCATCAGGTAAATCCTAGCCCGAACCTGGAAACAACCCAAATGTCCAACAACAGATAAATGGATAAACAAATTGTGGTATAGCCATATAATGGAATATTACCAGGGATGGGTGAGGGAATGAACAACAGATACACCCAAAGACACGGAGAGATCTCAAAATTATGCTGAATGAAAGGAGCCAAAAAGACAGTACATGGTATATGATTCTGTTTATAGAAAACTCTAGAAAATGCAAACTAATCTGTAGCGACAGACAGCAGATCACTGGTCGCCTGAGGATTGTAGGTGGAGGCTAAAGAGAGACAAATTACAAGGGAGCCTGAGAAAACTTCGGGGGCTGGGGAGGGGGCTACGCCGGGCCATAGCATTTGACAATACATGAGTCATGGCAGAATGGGAGGAGCAAACACCAGATGGCAGCAGGTTGAGAAGTGACTGGGAAGAGTGAGTCAGTGTAACTCTGTCCAGAAGCTTACCAGGGAAGGGAATAATACAGTGGTTTCAGTGCCATACGTAATGGAACTTCCTCCTGGGAGCTGTTTGTGATTCCAGTTAACTTACTCCAACTAGATGCCCCCCTCAGCCCCTGGAATGCGGATCTGCTCCCAGAGTGGCATTCATTCGCCTCTCTACCTTTCTAATAACTGCCAGCCTTTATTTTCAGAGCAATTGCTCTCTAACTTCATCAGTCTAACTAAGCTCTCCCATTTTGGAATTCTGAGGGCATTTATTATCTCTTTCTCATCATAGGACGTGTTCAATTCAATTTCACCAATGTTGAAAGGCACCATAGTGTTAAGCACATAGACGCGGGCATCAGATTATCTGAGTCTGAATCTCAACTCTGTCATGCAGTGGCTGTGTGACCTTGGTCAAGTTGCTTAGCCTTTCTGTGCTTCAGTTTATCCATTAATTTACCAGACATAATAAGAGTACTTTTTGCTATAAGTATTATAGTAGTATTTATAAAGAGCTTAAACCAGCGTTTGCCACATTCTAAACCCTAAGAATGTTAATAAAAATCACTTTGTGTTCCTATTACAGGAAGGTTCATGCTCACAGTTACGTGGTATACAGGGATGTCTGCGGCATTTGCCTTAACCTGGAGTGAGGAGCTAGCAATTGCCCGTCAGCTTTAAATTTTCTTAGAGATCTTCTGTGCCTTGGCCCAGCGGCCTCTGCACTTGGTCAGCTTTGGCATGAAAGCCAAAGATGGTGGACTCTCAATAGTCACTTCTCAGAACCTAGCTGCAAGTTGGAAGGATGGTGACTGCTAGAATTCGCGAGAGGAAAGACAGAGCCACGCTGGGAAGGGAGATGTTAACCTTCCCAAGATTTTGGACACTTTGCATTTCAACCAACTCATGGTGATATTCATGGCTAGCCCTGAAGGCACGGTCTGCCTATTCAGGCCCCACGCCACTCTCCACTCCCTGACCACCGCGCGTGCGGGTACCCAACCGCTGCACCCCAGCAGCGTGCCCAGCCTCAGCCCCACCCCTGCAGTCACCGCCCCCCCGCCTCCCCCTCACCCCGCCGCCCCGAGGCTCCAGAGTATAGTCCCCGCCCTGCAGTGTGCCTCCTCTGCCCTTCTCTGTTGCCACGCCTCTCCTCCTCGCCCCGCCTCCCCGCGGTTTCTATGGTCCCAGCTTGCGGTGAGCCCCGCCCCTCCTCTCCTCGTCGCCCCGCCTCTCCCCGTCAGTCCACCTCCCCGCGGCTCCTATAGTCCCCGCCCTGCAGTGAGCCCCGCCCCTCTTTCCTCGTCGCCCCGCCTGTCCACGACGCCCCGCCTATAGCCCGGCCGCCGCCGGTGCCTCCAGCGCAGCGGCTGCTACCTGAGTGGCGTCGGTGGCTTGGGGAGCCGGCCGCCATGGCGGCGGAGGCCCTGGCGGCCGAGGCCGTGGCTTCACGCCTGGAGCGGCAGGAGGAGGACATCCGCTGGCTGTGGGCGGAGGTCCAGCGCCTGAGGGACGAGCAACTGAACGCGCCCGACCGCGGCCAGGCCGAGGGGCCGTGCCTGACGCGGGAGGTGGCGCAGCTCCGGGCGGAGAACCGCGACCTGCGCCACCGCCTCTACCGCCTGCGGCTGTGCCTCGCCGAGGAGCTGAGACAGCAGGCGCCGCTGGAGAGCGCGGCGCGGGCGGCGGCGGCGCAGGAGGAGGCCCGGCGCGCGGCTGCCGGCGCGCAGGTAACGGGGCGGCAGGCTCGCTGCGGGGAACGGGGGCGGGTGCGACTAGAGCCCCGGGCGGGCGGCGCCGCGGGCTGCGTGGTGCACGGGTGGCGGTGGTCCGGCCGGAAGGACGGGTGCGGCCGCGGCGCGCTGCTCTGTGCACCTGCTCCGGCCTGGGGAACCAGTGAGGCGCCTGGACATCCCTCGGAGCCCTGTCTTTCCAGCAGTCGCCAGACTGACTTAATGGTGTCATTTCTCAGCTCTCCCAGTAAACTTGCCACATATTTTCTTCAGTAGCAGAAATAGCATTTTCCTTTGTTTGAAAAAAAAATGCTGGCGTGTTTAAAACTCACTCTTCTTTTCTTAGCAGGAAGACCAACAGCTACGTAAGTAAACTCATCCATTTCGTCTAATGAATGGCTGGTTCTGAGCTGTTTACGACAGGTGGTTTTTGGGGTTTTTTTTTGTTGTTCACTCGTTGAAATCTGTATATTTAGCGTTATTATTAGAGTGTTTTAATATTTTGGCCCATTGAAGGACAGGTTATCGTCGTGTAACATAATACATTTTATGAAGTTTAAAAGATTTCTCAGATTGTGGGGTGTTCTTGAGTTCTTTACCAAGGGTAACTGTGGTGCACTGGCAACATCTTCCTAAAATAGTGTATTTACAGTGCGGCGGCAGCTACACAACCATTTTCCAGTGACATTATGTTTAAAGTTTAGGGGAAAAAACTTTAGAGAGCAAAATATGTTAAATGTACTTAGCAAGAGTGTGTGAAAATGCCCAGACAGGAAGGACGGAACCCCAGAAAGTGAGTTGCCCATCTAGAGTTTTAGGTGGTGGTCAGGGAAGCCCAGCCTCCAACGTGGGACACTTGCTGATTGCTCGCTCCTCTGTTGTGTTCCTCTTTCTTGTCATTGGTATGAGTTATTTATAACTTACCTTTATTTCTCAGCCTCCTTCCAGTCAAACCCAAGAAAAGAACACTAAAGCAAAGGAGGATCGCAGGCCTGAGAGCAAGGTGAGTTGTTGCTATGGAACTAATGTAAAATACTACCTGTAATTTAAATATGTTGATACAGTTAATAGCCCAGATTTTAAATTAAAACATAATTACTAATTAAATTATGACACTAGTAGTATATTCAAAACCTTGCAAGCCTTAGCTACAAGATGTCTTAACTTCGAGCTGAGCTAGCCACACAGCTATCTTTAAGTGCTTCTTTGTCTATTTAAGTTGAGATAGCAGGGCTTTACTTTTGTGTTAAGGAAATTAGCTACCATATCAATCATGAAAACAAACCAGAGTAGGTTTTGAGGATAAACACTTGGCAGGAGCAAAGAAGGAAAACCTGGCTGCGGAGTAATCAGTCTGGTTGAGATCAAACAGGAAAGACAACAGAGAATGAAGTAGGATGGTATATGGGTAGGTGCTGAATTGTGCAACTGTGCATAGACGAGTGTTAAACACATGGCGGAGGGAGATATGGTAGTTAGAAGAGGTGGGCTTTGAGCTGGACCCTAAGACCTAAGAAGGGGGTGGGAAGTGACTGGCAGGAGAGTTGGAAATGACCTGGGGTGTGCAGAGAATGGGGTAAGCCTTACTGCAGGGTGAACACGTAGAAAAAACTGGGCTGTGTATGTTAACCTTCTTGTATTCTAATGACTTTCAGGTGACAGATCAACCAGATTTTGTGAAGGAAAGATTGAAGCTGTTTGAAATATTGAAGCAAGACCATCAGCTCTTATTTGTCATTGCTGACGAAAAGGGGAATACAAGCAATGTGATCACAGTGAGAGTGGCTGGTGGGAAAACCGTGGAAGGGGAAGTCTGGAAAACAACACCTTATCAAGTGGCTGCTGAAATTAGGTAAAACCATAGTTTGGAGAAGATATTCATTATGTAGTATTGTGCCAGAGCTTGGTGACAGTGTGTTCCCTGGGAACTGCGAAAATATTTTTTTTTTCTTACTTGAATAAATTAAGTGTCATTAATTTTTTCCCTCTGGCTTAAATAGGGCATTTAAATAAGTAGTTGAATACCAGAATAAAATCTCTTCTTTAAAATGTCCATATTTTAAAGTTCTTTTTTTTTTCTTTAAGATTTTATTTATTTATTTGACAGAGAGAGAGAGTACAAACAGGGGAAGCAGCAAGGAGCAGGAGAAGCAGGCTCTCGCTGAGCAGAGAGCCTGATGTGGGGCTCGATCCCAGGATCCTGAGATTATGACCCGAGCCAAAGGCAGACTCTTAACCAACTGAGTTATCCAGGCGCGCCCCCCCCCCATGAAAAATATATAGTAGAGAAAAATGTATAATCCTTGATAGGTCACTTTACATTGACTTTGTTCATCATCAGAGTATTTCCATGAGATTTTACTGATCCTTTGCTGGACTTGACTCCAAGTCAAGTCATCATCCCACCAGTAAATAACCATGGATGGTTCTTTGAACCACGTGGGACAGATCCCTGAAGGTTTTCAGGCCTGTTTCTTTTAATCTCTGGAATAATATTGCTTTTCCCATTTACCTAATGAGGTTGTAAAAATTAAATAACTGCATATGAAAAATACTCTGAAAATTAAAGTGCCTCTAGAAATGTACAAAGTGACTTATTATAGATTGAAGGTGTATGTGTTAGAGCTATTATCAACCCTGGAATAAATACTTTGACTTTCCTAGAAATTAGATACATTAGTGAAGTTACGTTATTTTGACCAATGTTAATTCCTAGCAGTAAATGTAATTCCGTGGAAGCTATAGCTCAAGACTGCCATGTAAATAAACTTTTACTATTTACAAAGCAAGCTTTTTCAACAGTTGAAATCTTCAGATTTCCTTGGAAAACTATGATTAAAATGATATATATATTTTCCCACCCCATCATGTCTTGCACTCTAACAGCCTCTCCCAGCTATTCCCATGTTTTCCAGGAGAGAGATGGTTAGATGTGCTCAGGAAAAAACAGGCTTTGAGGCAAAGATAAGTTTCTGTTTCTTCACGGCGAGTCAGTTTGCATGTTGGCATAGTAGAGACTGGTTCTGCACGGAAGAATCCTGTTTGAACTTGGGAAGCAAAGTTACTGGGTTATAGGACAGCTTCTTCATTGTACCCTTAATAATCTGCATTTCCACAGGGTACCAGCTTACAAATCGTACAATCAAATTTCATGATAGTGGGATTGTAGGAGCGTCTAAAAAGTAAAGTTAGCCCAAACCAAAAGACAAGCAAAGCGGGCATATCAGGCAAACCTCTTAGGAAGAGAGCCGGGATCATAGTAGTACTTCAAGACACCAGAATTCAGAGCTTAAATCATCAAATGGGAGGCTTATTTCAAAAATAGACAAACAGTGTAATCCGCAATGACTATTTGTCACAGAACTTTAGGAGTTAATTGATGTAGCATCAGATCAGAAATACAAAATTAAAGACACTCAGGAGTGGTAGGCTTTAACCTCTCTTTGGTTAGTACTGGTTTTGGACCCATCACATAGGCAAACATTAGGGTTATATGTGTCTGATTAATAACACTGTGAGGGGGACTTAGTGGTTGCTCACCAGTCTCTGTGGTCTACAGACAGAGATCTCTCAGCACCTGTGGTTGTGTTTTTGGCTTCTCAGAACCTTAATTACATGTGGAAATACAGTTCACATATTCTGTAGGTAAAATGAAATCTGTTATGAACTTAGTAAACATTAAATGACAGCAAGGCAAAACAAAGTAAAACTTGAAAATTACAAAAAAAAAAACTTCAAAATAACTCAGGTGAAAGGAAATAAAAACCACAGGATTTTTAGGAAATACTTTAATGAGGAGAATGTATATCAGAAATCTGTGCAATAGGGCCAAAGTAGTGATCAGAAACAGATTTGTAGTGTCAAAGGCTTTTCTAATAAGAAAGAAGAAGAAACAGACTAAGAATTCAACAAAGACAGTTAGAAAAAGAAGGGAGCTCTAAGGTGAATTAGAGAGGGGCACCTGTGTGGCGCAGTTGGTGGGACGACAGGCTCTTGATCTCCGCTCAGGTCTTGATCTCAGGGTTGTGAGTGGGGTTCTGTGTTGGGCTCCTACTTAAAAAAAAAAAGTGAATTAGGGAATAGTATTAACTGGAAAACTGTCTGAATAAGGGTTCAGTGAGGTGGCTGGATATAAAATAAATGAGAAATTAATAGTTTTATTAAATTATACTGCCTATTCTCTTGGGTTACTGAGAATTGATTGCATAGATGATGATTCCTGTTCTGGGGGAGTCTAAGCATACCATGTAACGTGGAAATCATTAAGGAAAAGATGGACAAATTCAAACGGCACACAAAATAAAACGCTTAAGAAAAATGGCTATGTGTAAAAATGACACATAAAACGGGAAATGGCAGATGTAAAAAAAATGTACCATATAAAACAAATGATTGCTCTCCAAGTGTTTTTCAAATTAATAGGAAAAAGATGAAAACTTCAAGAGAGGAACAGATTATCTTAGAAGTATAAATGAAAATTATTATGTGTTCTCTATTTGTCCAAGGTTTATGCATAGCAGTTAACATTGATACAGTCTTGGGGAAATGGCATTGCTGGAGGGTGGATAAATAGGTCCGGTCTCTTTCAAACTTTTAAAGCCTTAAAAACATGCAAACCCTAACCTTGGACCCAGTAATTCTATACATAGCCATTTATCCTAAGGAAATACCCCTGTAGAGGGGCGCCTGGGTGGCTCAGTTGGTTAAGCATCTGCCTTTGGCTCAGGTCATGATCCCAGGGTCCTGGGTTTGAGCCCCGTATGGGGCTCCCTGCTCAGTGGGGAGTCTGCTTCTCCCTCTCCCTCTGCAGCTTCCCCCTGCTTGTATGTGCATGCCCTCTATGTCAAATAAATAAATAAAATCTTTAAAAAAAGAAAAGACCCCTGTAGAAAAATGGGGCAAAGGACAGTTCATAGTAGTTCATGAAAGAATTGTTCGCAGAGTGTGGTTCCCAAACCAACAGCATGAGCATTACCTGGGAACTTAGGAGAGAGCAAATTCTTGGGCCCTGCTCCATACCTCTTGAATAATTAGTCTCTGTTTGTAAGCCCCTCCAGGAGTTTCTGATGCAAGTTCAAGTTTGAGAACCACTGAGTTAGGCTAAACTGCTGTCGCAAGAGATCTCCCCCAAAGACCATTGCTTGAATAAGGTAGACCTCACGTTTTCTCATATGGCAGTCCAGAGATGACCAGTCCAGGCTAGTGGACATCCCTGGTCCATGCAGTCATTTATGGACCTGGGCTCCTTCTGTTTTGTTGATCTGCCATCTGCTAGGTCACAGTTCGTCCATGTTGAGGGGTGGAAGCTGAGTTCATGGACTCACGGACTTGCTTGCAGGCAGGGGGAAGACAGCTGAGGAACAATAATGCTTTGAGGGCCAGACCCCACAATGGCACACTCTAATTTCCTCTTATATCCTATTAGCTCACCTTGAGTCACCTGGCCACCCCTAGCAGTAAGAGAGAATGGAAATGTCGCTTTTGCTGGCCAGCCACATGTCCAGCTAAAGCATTCTCCCCGTGGAAGAGGGAAAGCATGGTTTAGGGGACAACGTCTGCCACAGTGTGTCCCTGTGAAATCCAGAAATCTGTGAGAGCCCTTTTTCATCATCCCGCACACTTGGTCCCTCCCCAGGCGAGACAGCTCTGGGTCCCAATAGCTGAAAGCTTGGGATTTCCAAGTGATGTACAGAACACCCCGTTAGGCTGGCCCCTTACACTCTAGCAACAAATAAGCTGATAGGGCTGCCCACCCCACATGTGTATATATACGGTGGTGGAATACACACGAGGCCAACACGATAGAAGTGTATTTGGAAAAAAGAGGAAGGAGCAGTAGGGCATCCAGTAGTGGACAGAAGCCATCAGATTCTGCTGGCAGCGATCGGGAGGCCCACAGCCTGGCAGCGGGCAGTGCTTGGGTCAGCCTGTCTGGCCACCCTTTGTTTTCTGGTCCACAGTCCCCCGGAGGCCCTGGTTTTGCTCTTGGGGAGGTTCCTAGTTGTCCATCATCTAGACAATTCCATCATCTAAGAATTCTAGAGAGAGACTTCTCACCCCTTTTTGTCCTGGCTTTTGTGCTTGGCTCATTCCTCTGTCCCTCAGTTTAATGGCCTGAGGTCATATGAAACAACAGGCTGTGGGAGGGCAGCACCCTTACTCTGATCCCTGCAGTGGGCCTGGCTCCTATTGTCAGTCTTGACGTTGGCCTTCGAGAAGAGCTGTCCGTGCCTGTCCCTCCTGCTGTTTGGGACAAATGACTGTTTCTCCGATCTCGCACAGCCTCACATTTCTGGACTCTTAGTTTGGATTACAGGCCACAGGCAGAGCCTCTCTTGGCAAAGTCCTGTCCCTTCCATCTCTGCCTGCAAACCAGATAATTCTCACCCGGGCTGAGCCGGGTCTGGTGGTATTTTGCAAAAGCTGCAGTAGCCACCCAGCGTTTACCAACATTCTGCCTTTTTATGCCTGCTTCCTTATGTGCTACAAGCATTGTAAGCGCATTGGTTTGCTTTAAGGCTTTACCAAATATGATCTCAACTATTTAATCATGTATCAGTATTTGATACTTATCAAATACCAAATGATGCCACGACAAGGGATGTTGGCCACATCTTGCTGCCCATTTGCTAAGCCAGTGCGACGTGGTTTGGTTTTGTTACTCACCTCCAGGTCCTTACTTTTTTGTATTAGTTAAGATACAGGCTAAGCTGCTGCAACAAAAAATTCAGTAGCATAAATATGATCGGAGTCTCTCTCCAGTAGCCGTCTGGAGGTGTGGGGGGCCACCTTGGCAGGACAGCACTCTTTTCCATAAGTCATCTGGAGACCTGAATTCCTTCCGTTTGGTTGCGGGACCATCTGTATGTATGTCCAGTGTTGCGCTTGTCTGCATGGTTGGGGGGAACAGCGCGCGTTTGCTCTGGTGTGGAGGAAGCGGGGAAGGGATGGGGAAGGGCTCTCCGTTGTCTTAAGGCTGAGATGCAGAAGTGCTACAGGCCACTTCTGCTGGTATCCATTGCTTCCAAACCTAGTCACACGGCCACATCTGGCTGCAAGGAAGGCTGCAAACTCCTGCACAAGAAGGAGAGAATGGATTTGAAGAACCCTTAGCAGTCTTCACAGCCAGTAAAAATGAAAATTAAATTCTACTTCGTTAATAACAGTAGCTAGCATTTATTAAGAAGTTTTTATTGTGAGTATGCCTTATTTAATCCTTAGAATATATGGATGAGGAAGGTCCTATAAATCCCCATTTTAACATATGAGAGAGCCAAGGCTTAGAGTAGATTGTTCAGTGTTCAAACCCAGAGCAGGTGCTCTTAACCACAGCACTGTACCGATGCTCAAGTTACTCACAGAAATGCAAGTTAAAACATCATATTGGAAAGAGGACATGGTTTCATAGTACCTGACATTATGAGGGGAAAGAGAAAAGGTATTCTTGCACCTTTCCTGGTCGGGAAATTTGGCAGTATATTCCAACAGAGGTCATTAAAGCATATTTCCCTTGACCCAGCAGTTTTACTTCTTGAATTTTTCCAGAGAAAATGGGCACTAAGATGTGTGTTCAAGAATGTTCACTGCAATGTTACTTGTCCCAAAACAAAACAAAGCAAAAAAAACCCCACAAAGAAATAACCAAAATGCCCAGCCACAGAGGGTTCAGTAAGCAAGTCTTGTTTCTTCTGCAACTAATTACTAGCATGTTTTTCAAGTCTGTCTATTGTCAGGGAAAACGTGCGACTTACAAAGTTTAAAAAGTACGTTACCAGATAACATATACAGAATGGTACTATTATTAGATTTTTATTGTAGTGTATATATTTATCAAAAAATGTGGAAGGACATACAACAAAATGTTAACAAGTAATCCCTTGGTGGTGTGATTGAGGTTTTTTTTTTCTTCTTCTTTGCTCTTCTGTGCTTTCCAGGTTCTTAATGCGTTATTTTTGTCAATAATTTTCAAACAACAATAAATGTGTGGGGGGGCAGTGAGAGAGAGAGAGAAGGAGGGGTGGATGGAGAAAAAGACTAGAAAGACATGTACTAAAATGCTAGGAGTAGTTATTTTCAGGGTGGTAAGATTTAGATGTGATTTTTATTTTATTCTTCATGTTTTCTCTGTTTTCCAAGTGTGGTGGTGGTGGTTGTTGTTTACAGTGGATGTATACTACTTTTGTATCTAAAATAAATGTTACGAAATAAAAAAAATCTGTTCTATTAGTTTACATTTGTACTTTCTATTCACTTAAAAAAAAAAACCCTGGAAACTATTCTAATCTTTTGTTTTAATGAATCATTGTAGCGTGTGATAAGGTTAACTCCCAAGTGACTTTTCTCTTTCTAGTCCAGAGCTGGCTGAAAGCACGGTTGTAGCCAAAGTAAATGGTGAATTATGGGACTTGGACCGTCCATTGGAAGGGGATTCCACTCTAGAGCTGCTTACGTTTGATAATGAGGAAGCTCAAGCTGTAAGTATTTAAAAACCAATCAATGAAACTTTGAGTAATTATATTGTAAACAATATTATGTACAAAGACACATATTAAAGTCAAGAATGATGAGTTTTGTAACCTTCTGAGACTTAACACTGGTTTATTGGTGTTTAGTATTTATGAGTTTCTATGGAATGAATATGTACCAATATATATCAGCTTTTAAAGAAGCCCCTATTTATCATTTTTTAAAATAATTATTTCTTTAAGCTATAATGCTTTATTATAAAATCAATGTATATTCCAAGTGAATTTTAATAGATTCTTAAAAATCAGTCTACTTTATAATATATGTGTAGGAGAATTGGAAAACATTATCAAAACCCAGATATCTTTTAAATAGTTATTAATGTAATATTCTGGAAAATAGATATCAGATTTTTATGTAGGTCTCTGATATGCATCGTTACCTTAACTTTGCAGTTTTCCTTTCATGTGGCCCACTGTCCACCTAAAACCTAACCTGTGATTAGTTTAGGCTACATTAATTTTGAAACCTAGGCTAAATTTCTTGATTTATTAACCCAAACTTATAAGAAGCATATTATAATTACTTTTCTGTGTGAAATATGTGAGGTATAACAATTCAATAGCTAAATAATACAATATTAATAAAATCACATTTAAAAGTGATTCGGAAAGAGCAATTTTTAGAAGAAATACATAGCATATGTGTATTATTTAGTTTTTCTCATGAGTTGTTAACAGCTGTCACTTAACTTCATCCCAGATTTCATCCCTAGACTTTAAAATTTTATAAATTCCCTCAGTCAGCTGACCAGCATCTAAGGCCCTGGAGTCACGTAAAGACACTATAGGGCTGCAGTGGACAAAGCATGGAGACTCCCGCTTCCAAGAGTTTTAAGAGTTTACATCCAGTGGGTGGAGGTAGTAAACAAGAAAACAAACAACTAGAGGTTTCAGATAGTGTCAGTTTCTGGAGAAAGTCCAATCGGGGCTGGAACCAAGAGCCACCATGATAGCTGGTGGAGCAATTAGTTTTGATCCTCAACTAAGGGCCCAGATCCTGCCTGAAAGCCTTGCACTTTCCCACACTGGCACGCTCTTGGTTTATCTGCAGGTGTCGCTCCTGAGACTCTTTTTACATAGTTGGCTGTTGAACTTCTTCAATCTGCCAGGTACTAGGGTGGTAGGGGATGGACGAACTACCAACTTTAATGTTCCATGGAGATGTGGGCATCTTTGGGGTTCTTCTCTCCTTGCATTCAGTGACCTCATGAAAAAGAAAACATTTGTTATCATGGGAAATCTTTCTAGAGTGCCGAACCAGCAGGCCCCTCTGCTTGCCATGCTCATAACATGGTATCTGACGTCGGATTGTAGGGTTTCCATAAATATGTGTGGTTGTTGATGAAAATGATGATAGGCAAAAACATTTACCAGAAGTTTATTTACCATTTACCAAGTGACCCTGGCCCCTTGAGTCCCCAGTTACCCTAGCACACGTGTATGTTTTAATCCCTATTTTACAGATGAGGCAACCAGAGCTCAGGATGGTGAAGTAACTTTTCCAAGATCTTGATGCTTCTTTTAATGTAATTTAGTAACAAAGATTTTTTTGTTGTTGTTCCTGGAATTTATTTTCCTGTTGCTATAAACATAATAAGATACTGAACATAAACCAACTTATGAATATTTAGCACATATCCATGAAAAAGAAACCCTATAGAAAAATGAATCTTGAAAACCCAGATCTAAAGAAATGAGAAATTAATGCTTTTTTAAAAGCATTTTTTGCTTTATGGAAAATTTCAAGACTCCTTTATATTGTAAAAGATGATTCTATTTATAAGAATAGTTAGAGCATAATGTAACATACAGAAGAAACACCCTCTGCCCTCTAGATAAGTTCATATAGAAAATGACAGGAAGAATACTCACATAAAGCTGATAAATATACACAACAGAAACAAGGGGCATTTTATAAAATGATACAGCTTGCAATTTTAAAACATATCTAATGGTATTTCCTTTTGTGAGCGTATTGTCTACTAAAAGAATATATGTAGGTAGATATTATTCTACTTTAAATCTTTGGGGGAAGTCCCAGGGAAACCAGTGATGTGCAGCTATGATTTCATGCTCAAGAAAACACAAGGTACTTGGTGGTACTTAGAGGTGTGAACCAGAAAAGCAGATTTACATAAGAACCAAAGCTGCTAGTTCTGTGCTTTTAGTGCGGCTCAGGGGTCTCTTCCAGTACATCAGGGCATGAGTCGGACTTCACTCCCCATTTCAATGGCCACCTCCCCCCATCCTCTGGATTCTCTCATTTACAATGAACCACGCCCTTCTTTTAAGGTCCTTTATGGTGCCACTGCTTTTCTGGTTTCATTCCCACCATCGATTGTTCTCAGTCTCCTTTGCTGGCTTTTTCTTCTTCATCTGCCCGCAGAGTGAAGAATTCCTCGGTGCTCAGTCATGGCACCGTCTGTCTTTAGATTCCCGTTCCAAGCGTTTCTATTAACTATCCGCTGTCAGTTCTTCTGTCTGTGGCTAGACACGTCTCAGTCTTGTGTACGCTGCTGGCCATGCACTATCTCCATCCAGAGATCGTACAGGAATCCTGAGTATGTCCACAGCAGAACTCTTGATTTTAGCCCCATCTGAGTGTACACCTCCATGACATGCCTAATTGCTCAACCTAGAGTCTCAGAGGTTGTGTATGATTACAGCCTGCCCTCCCAGCTCCAGTCTCGAATTAATTGGTAAGCCATTACTTTCCCGAGGTATCTTGAATCTGCCCACTTCTCTGCATTTCCACTGCCACTGTCCAAGAGTCCACGATGGTGTTATTATAGCACAACCCAAGAAACTGCCCACCTGCTGTCCTATTCCCCTAAAATCCATTCTTGTACTGCTACCAAACGGTGTTTTAAAAGGTAAATTGAAAATTTTTCTGTTTAAAGCCCTTCACTGCATCTCACTGCATTTGGAATAAAACTCAGCTTCCCTCCTCTCCCGGCCCAAGGCCTGCATGGCTGCTCGCCCTTTCTTCTCTCTGCAGCCTTTCTCAGGCTACCCTGCTTTCCCCCTTCCATGTTCCTGACTCTCTGTGAAGGTGGAGCCTTCACTGTCACTCTTCGTTCCAGTGCCCTGTTCATCTCCTTTTAAATCTTCTTCTGGTCTTGTGATTATGCACTTACTAGTTTGTTTATGCCCGTCTCTCTCACGCTGCGCTGCAAACTGCAGGAGGCTGGTGACTCCTTTTTGTTCACTGTTGTATCCCCAACACCTAACACAGAGTTTGGCTCAACAAATATCTAGGGGTGGACAGAGCACCAAAGAAGAGACTTGGGTTCATGTTGGCAGTTAGTCTGCCCTCCTGGCACCATCCGAAGCAAAGGGACCGACCCTCTGGGGCCGTTTGCAGATCCTATCCCAGCCTAACGCTGCTGGTTGGGATTGCCCATAGCCTGCTCAGCCAGCCAACCTCCCTCTGTTCCGATTGATTTTATTTGTCAAACGGCTTTCTCATTGTAACATTTCCTATTTGATAAGGGAAGGAAAATGCTGCCAGGGGACTCCGGTGTTGTCTTGCTTCTTTGGCACCTATATTTATTTGGTGACTTTGGTTAGTTTTAGTTTATCCGTAAACCACTGATTCCTTGGGAATTCAAAACCAGATTCAAAACCCAACTTTCCGACCTTGTAGACCTGATGAGCGGCCCTTGGACGGTGGTAAATTAACTCATGTGTGTGCTGGCCGGGGCTCTCAGGCCACATTCCCAGGCCCCACACTCGTCGCCCTCCAGAGCCATCTTGTCAAAAGCTGTTCAACCTGCGGGGACTGCCGTGTAGACGCAAACTACTTTGGCCCTCTGTGTTCAGCTTCGAGGCTGTCCCTGGAGAGAAAGGAAGGAAGCCAGTGTCTGTCACCCTTGGCTTTCCTCCACTCTGGGCTGAGCTGGGCTGCCGCGCGACTCCTCTGCTCAGCCTTCCAAGCGGATGGTTGAGGCTTCGACAGACAACCTCTCTGCGAGTGAAGATGGACGTGGAAGGCCGTGGTTTTGGAGCTGTGCTTTAGCTGCGACTCAAGACAGCAGTTTACACTAGAACCCAGCTTATGGCCCTGGTGTAATTGCCAGGAACGCTCAGAAAGTGTTCTCTTCGACGTGGGCATTGAAGCGTTTCTTTTCAAATTGATGTTGCTCTGTGTCTTAGCATTTGTCCCCTTAAAGGTGATCCACTTGCTTCCTTGTGTGATTGGACTAACAGTTTCCCATGCCGTAATTTCGATAGCCACTGGCCTCTGTGTTCCACACAGGTGTACTGGCACTCCAGTGCTCACATCCTTGGGGAGGCCATGGAGCTTTACTACGGAGGCCACCTGTGCTATGGTCCACCCATTGAAAATGGATTTTATTATGACATGTTCATTGGAGACAGGTAATACCGCCTGCATAGTCACTTCTGAAGGCATGCGTTTATAATGATTACATATTAATTTAGTGAATGTGTATATGTTCTATAACTTGAGCATAGATTGGCTATGTTTGAAAATTATTCTTTTCTGAGTTTAGATTCCAGAGGAACTTCTCGAACTTTCTTTCTTGTCCTCAGAAGGAAGTGATAATACTATTTATCTCACATGAGACCTGCTAGAGCCTAGTACTGAATTAAGAACAGAATCTCAAATTTAATCCCCAAAGAGTGGCTGGTTCAGTTCTGCTCCATGAATAATGAAGGGTGCTATCCACCTTGGCCAGACATCCCATGCAGATAAGTACCATGCAGAGTAGGGGACAGAGGCTTCACATTCTGTAGATCTGTGCTTGAAATCATTAGCAACAGGCCCAGCCCCAGCCCACCACCTGTATTCCCCATAGCTCTTAAGGACTAGCTGCCAAAGCTGAAACCTGAGGGTCCTTCCAATTCCTGTCCCTCCCTCAATCCAGTTCTTCCAGTCCTATCTCCTAAATAGTTCTCCCATCCTCCCTTCTTCCTCTGTGCTTCTGCCTGAATTAGACCCATAACATCTCTTGCTGGATGACTTTGGTACATTTTGTCCTTACCTGTCACTACTGCACTGCTCAAATGGTCTCCCTAACTGAGCACCCAGTACTCTAGAGCTCCTGTGTACAGCCTTGTCCGTCTTCATCTCCTGTTCCCACCACCCCAAGATTTGTTCAACAAGATTTTTGACTGAGCTTGGTGCTGGTGATTCAGCAGTGAACAGAGTATGGTCTGTTCCCGTGGAGCTAACAGTCTGGTTAGCTTAGACAATAAACAAACGAACAGCCACTTACCAGGTGGTGATGAGTGGTATGGAGGAAAAGAAGCCCGGTGTGGAGAGGTGTGTGCCATGACAGGTGGTCAGGAAAGGGTCGAGTGATGCTGAAGCAGGGACCAGAATGGAGGAAGGGAGCAAATGCTGAGGCTGTTGTGTGTGTGTGTGGGGGTGTTTATGGACCTTTGGGGGTACAACGTTCTAGGCCTCTGGGACCTCCCTGGTGTGGGCCTGTGCCTGTGTTGTTTGAGGAAAGGCAAGGAAGCCAGCGTGGGTGGAAGGGAGTGAGGGTAAACCAGAGAGCAGCTGAAAGAGGTCAGCTGATGGCTCACGGAGGCCCATTCCCTGCGAGTACCAGACTGGATGCTGCAGTTCACACCCACAGATCTTTCTCCCAACCCGATTCCACAGTAACTGAGGGCGGGGATTTGTGAGCACTTGCTACATCTCTTTTGAACAAAAATGTAGGTGTGTGAAGTATAAGGTTGACTGCATGAAGAACAGGTCTAAAGGAGCTTAGTCTAACCGGGGAAGATTCTAATGGGGCTTTTCAAATTATACACCTCATCGCAGAGAAGAATTGCAGGCAAGTCATTTCCTCTGTTGGGGCCTCAGGATTCTTCTTTGAGAAATGAGATTGTCTGCCTTGCATGTGGACGTATGACTTTCTGAAGTCCTGGTACAATAAAACACGAAATCCTCAGTGTCAGTGACAAGGGTCCACAGAAAGGACATTGCAGGAAGGCTGAGAAATCTGAGTTGACTCTCACTTGCTCTTCTTTTTAGAGCAGTGTCCAGCACAGAACTGTCAGCCCTGGAGAGCATCTGTAAGACTATCATAAAAGAAAAGCAACCTTTCGAAAGACTGGAAGTCAGCAAGGAAGTGCTCCTCGAAATGTTTAAGGTAATTTCAGGAGACTCTTTAGAATAAGAAAATCTTTTGCCAGGAATATTAAAAATGATTAATTGACATAGCTTTTTTTTTTAAACAAATAGTTGAGTGTTGCTTGCCACATTGTTCCAATCAATTTGGCAGCCTACTGTGAGGTTGTCACTAGTCACCCAATGTGATATGTCCTTACTATGTCCTGAAAATTTTAATGCAGTTATATGTAGGTGAAGGACCAGGTGATAATTTTCATGTGTGTGTCTATAAATCTGATTAATTTTGAGTATTGTTAATATTTTGACTAATAAATTCAATAATACTTCTACTTTCTCTTTATATTGTTTTGACCAACGTATGTAAATATATTCTTAACTTTTATTTAGCGCGCGCGTGTGCACGTGCGCACATGTGAGCAGGGGTGGGGCAGGGGGAGGGGAGGGGCAGAGGCAGAGAGAGAGAATCTTAAGCAGATTCCACATCCGGCCCAGTGTGGAGCCTGACTCAGGGCTCGATCTCACAACCCGAAGATCATGACTGGAGCTGAAATCAAGAGTTGGATGCTTAACAGACTGAAACACCCAGGTGCCCCCTGATTTTATTTTTTAAATCATATCAAAGAAAGCACGTAATTTGAACATAGAATATTGTTGAATTAAAAAATAGGTTTGGGCTTGGTAAAGTTGCAGGTACTCTGTGTGTGTGTGTGTGTGTCTGTGTATGTGTACATGTATGTGTGTGTGGTAAAATACACAAAATAGAAAAATTTATTAACCATTTTTAAGTGTACAGTTCTGTGGCATTTTGTACATTCATATTGTGCAACCATCACCACCATCCATCTCCAGAGCTTTTTCCTCTTCCCCACCTGGAACCCCAACCAAGTAAACACTAACTCCCCATTCCCACTTCCCCTTTTTCTGCCTGTACAAATTTGACTACTCTAAGAACCATATAAGTGGAATCATACATTTTTTTGTCCTTTTGTGACGTCCTTATTTCACTAGCGTAATGTCCCCAAGGTTTGTCCATGTTGTAGCATATGTCAGAATTTCCTTCCTTTTTAAGGCTGAATAATATTCCGTTGTATGTATAGACCACATTTTGTTTATTCATTCATCTATTGGTGGACACTTGGGTTGTTTCCACCTTTTGACTATTGTGAAAAGGGTCGCTGTGAACATGGCTGTAGAAATATCTGTTCTAGTCCCTGCTTTCAATTCCTCGGGGTATATACCCATAAGCTGCTGGATCATATGGAAATTCTCTGTTTTGTCAACTGCCAGACTGTTTGCCAACGCAGCTGCACCATTTTACATTCCCACCAGCAGTGCACGAGGGTTCCAGTTTCTCCACGTCCTCGCTAACACTTGTAGTTTTCTGTTTTGTTGATAGTAGCCATCCTAACGTGTGTGAGGTGGTATCTCATTGTGCTTTTGACTTGCATTTCCCTAATGACGAGTGATGTTAAGCATATTTTCATGGACTTATTGGCCAGTTGTATGTCTTATTTGGAGAAATGTCTATTCCAGTCTTTTGCCCATTTTGTAATTGGGTTGTTTGTTTTTTGTTGTTGAATTATAAGAGTTCTTCATATATTCTGGATATTAATCCTGTATCAGATATGTGATTTGCAATTATTTTCTTCTATTCTGTGGGTTGCCTTTTTGCAGCCACTCTTTTTTTTTTTTTAATTTTTTTATTGTTATGTTAATCACCATATATTACATCATTAGTTTTTGATGCAGTGTTCCATGATTCATTGTTTGTTCATAACACCCAGTGCACCATGCAAAACGTGCCCTCCTCAATACCCATCACCAGGCTAACCCATCCCCCCACCCCCCTACCCTCTAGAACCCTCAGTTTGTTTTTCAGAGTCCATCATCTCTCATGGTTCGTCTCCCCCTCTGACATACTCCCCTTTTCTTCCTCTCCTGTTATCTTCTTCTTTTTCTTTTTTCTTAAAATATGTTGCGTTATTTGTTTCAGAAGTACAGATCTGTGATTCAACAGTCTTGCACAATTCACAGCGCTCACCGTAGCACATACCCTCCCCAATGTCTATCACCCAGCCATCCCATCCCTCCCACCCCCAACCACTCCAGTAACACTCAGTTTGTTTCCTGAGATTAAGAATTCCTCATATCAGTGAGGTCATGTGATACATGTCTTTCTCTGATTGACTTATTTCACTCAGCATAACACCCTCCAGTTCCATCCACGTCGTTGCAAATGGCAAGATCTCATTCCTTTTGATGGCTGCATAATATTCCATTGTGTATATATACCACATCTTCTTTATCCATTCATCTGTCGATGGGCATCTTGGCTCTTTCCACAGTTTGGCTATTGTGGACATTTGCAGCCACTCTTAAGAACTAAACTTAATCAAATCTCTTTGAAGAAAAATGATTTGATTTGAACATATAAGTATGAAACAGTTAAATCATACAAATCTATTTTTTTCTCTCAACAACTATCCCCTTTAAATAGTTATTTAATAAAAAGTACCTGGCACCAAGGCAGTAGTGATGAAAGCAGGAAAGAAAAGAGAAGTGTCTGCTGAGTTTTTAATGTAACGATAGGATCATTTACTATAAACTTTGTTTTTGTTTTATGCAAATTAATAATGCAGCTATGTCCTCAAATTTTATTTATTTCATGTTAATGAAATAAATGAAATAGTTAAAATTGGAATCTTCAGACCTAAATGTGAGACCTGAAACCATAAAAATCCTGGAGAGCACAGGCAGTATCCTCTTTGACAGAGGCTGTGGCAGCTTCTTACTAGCTATGTCTCTGGAGGCAGCGGATATAAAAGCAAAAATAAACTATTGGGACTACCTCAGAATAAAAAGCTTCTGCACAGCAATGGAAATAATCAACAAAATAAAAGGCAACCTACTGAGTGGAAGAAGGGATTTGCAAATAACATATCTGATAAAAGGTTAGTATCCAAAATATAAAAAGAACTTATCAAACAACACCCTCCCAAAAAGAGTAATCCAATTAAAAAACAGGCAGAAGACATGGATAGACATTTTTCCAAAGAAGACATTCAGATGGACAATAGACACATGAAAAGATGCTCGTCATCACTTATCACCAGGGAAATACAAATCAAAACCGCAATGATATATCACCTCACACCTGTTAGAATGGCTAAAATCAACAACCTGAGAAATAACAGGTGTTGGCAAGGATGCGGAGAAAGGGGAACCCTCTTGCACTGTTGGTGGGAATGCAAACTGGTGTAGCCATTCTGGAGAACAGTATGGAGGTGCCTCAAAAAGTTAGAATACCCTATGATCCAGTAATCACACCACTAGGGATTTACCCAAAGAACACAAAAATACTAATTCAAAGGCATACTTGCACCCCAATGTTTGTAGCAGCATTATCTACAGTAGCCAAAGTATGGAAACAACCGAAGTATCCATCAACTGATGAATGGATAAAGAAGAGGTGGTATAATCTACAATGGAGTATTATTCAGCCATAGAAAGAATGAAATGTTTGGGCGCCTGGGTGGCTCAGATGGTTAAGCGTCTGCCTTCGGCTCAGGTCATGATCCCAGGGTCCTGGGATCGAGTCCCGCATTGGGCTCCCTCCTCCTTGGGAGCCTGCTTCTCTCTCTCTCTCTCCCTCTCTCTCTCTCTGTCTCTCATGAATAAATAAATAAATTCTTTAAAAAAAAAAAAAGAATGAAATGTTTCCTACCAAGACATGGATTGAGCTAGAGAGTATAATGCTAAACAAAATAAGAGAAAGACAAATACATGATTTCACTCGTATGTGAAATTTAAGAAACAAATGAGCAAAGAGAAAATAAAAGAGAGTGAGAGAAAGAGAGAGGCAAGCCAAGAAACAGACTCTTAACTATAAAGAACAAACTGAGGGTTACCAGAGGGGAGGTGGGTGGGGGGAGGGGTGAAATAGGTGATGAGCGCCGGGTGAGGTACGGGCGTGTTGAATCACTGTATTGTACACCTGAAACCTAATATTACACTGTATGTTAACTAACTGGAGTTTAAATAAAAAAAGAAATACATTCTGAAAATGAGATGAAAAAAATCATAGTCTTCTAGAACAGTGCTGTTCAATACAAATATAATGTGATAATGATGTACTGTATGTTGGCTAATTGAATTGAAATAAAAAAATTTCGAAAAATAAAATTTTGAAAAATAAAAATAGAATGTGATCCACGAATCTGAGCCCCATATGTAATCTTAAATTTTCTGGTAGCCACGTTTTAAAAGTAAAAGAATGGTGGAATGAATTTTTATAACATTTTATTTAACCCATTATATCAAAAATATCACTTCAACATGTAACCAACATAAAAATAATTAATGAGCTATTTTCCATTCTGTCTTTCACAGTATGTCTCTGAAATCCCGTGTGTTTTGCACTTAAGCTCATCTCATTTCAGACTGGTTCCATTGCAAGTGCTCAGTAGCCACTCGGGTTCATGGTTCCTGGTTTAGACACTACAGCGCTACACTGTGAACTCGGGTATTCCCCGAGTCTCAGCACCTAGAACATAGTAGACACCCATTCAGTGTTTGTTGAAAAAAGTAAAAGTTTTTTTCTCCATTTAAACATTTTATATAATAATATGTAAATATATTTTTCTTTGTAGTACAATGAATTCAAATGCCGCATCCTGAATGAGAAAATTAACACTCCAACTACGACGGTTTACAGGTAACGTGTGTGTAAATTTTAAGCCCTGCTCCGTGGTAAACTTGAAGGTATTAGAAGTAGAAGCAGTTGGTCTTTGGGTGGGTGGCGTATTTTATAAATTTGCATAGTTGATATACTACTTTAGTTTGGGACTCCGAAATGTTATCAGCAAAGGGAACTTATTCCCCTCTTCATTTGTATTTATCAGGCTGGTGCTAAAACCTGAATTTTTGTTTTCCGGACGTTAGCTGTGACAGCATCTTTCCCCATGTGGGTGAAACTGTTTGCCCAGTGCCTTACGTTTTAGTGGGGGCTGTTAGGGAAGGGAATTTTATTCTATCCTCCCACATTCTTATTGATGTGGCAGCGGGAGTTGCTCTGTGTCATCTGCCTCCTACAGTGATTTTCTGCCTCTTACTATACTCCCCATTTCCTGGAGTCCAGGAGCATTAACTTTCATGCGTTAGTCAGATATTCATCATGAAACACAATTAAAGGCAACCTTGGGGAACCAAAGGCAAGTCAGATGGTAGGAAGAGGCAAGTGAAGTCAGTACCACTGTGACTTAGTTCTGTTCCTTTAACATCTGAGCCCTTTTTTTTTTTCGTGCGTCTTTTAAGCTGCCTGACGGGTAATTGCTGTTCCCCATATCTGTGTGTTCTGACTGCGTCTGTGACCTTCACGGTCCCATCTTAGAAGATCTGCTGTCTGTGTATTTGAAATCACAAATACCCTCCGCAAGGGCATTTACTTTCCACAGTCAAGTACTTATGGTTCTGGGGTTTAATGGTGCTGTAAGTAAAGTCATCTCCCCTCTAAGCAAAGCTATGCACAGGTTCTTTCTTTCTTTTTTTTTTTTTTTAAAGATTTTATTTATTTATTTGAGAGAGAGAATGACAGAGAGCACGAGAGGGAAGAGGGTCAGAGAGAAGCAGACTCCCTGCTGAGCAGGGAGCCCGATGTGGGACTCGATCCTGGGACTCCAGGATCATGACCTGAGCTGAAGGCAGTCGCTTAACCAACTGAGCCACCCAGGCGCCCCTGCACAGGTTATTTCTTATGTTACAATATGAACTCGTTGCCCTTTGACATTGAAGCGGGATAGATACTGTGCTTACCTTATTTTTGCCATTCGCCAATGACCAGACAAGGTTTTATTATTCATTACCTGTAATTCAAGTAATTGTTAGTATATGCATTTTAAAACTTAAAAATACATGAGGAAATAAAAAAGATATGCTGTTTTAAAATTCTGGCTTCTAATACTTGAGCCTTTGTGGTTATTTTTTTTTTCTTAAGATTTTATTTATTTATTTGACAGAGACACAGGTCAACAATGACGCTTCTTATTCTGTCAATTTAATTTTTGGAAAATGAATTGCTTTTCGTTCTATAGGGTTGTTCAAAGATCAGTGTATTGAAGTCTTTCATGCTAATTAGGCATTCCTTCCACTCCTTTGAGCGTTGATTTACCACTTCCATCTTGGACAGAGAACAATAAAGCCTGGTCATTTGAAGAAATGATATTTTCATCTTTTTTTTTTTAAGATTTTATTTATTTATTTGACAGAGAGAGACACAGCGAGAGAGGGAACACAGGCAGGGGGAGTGGGAGAGGGAGAAGCAGGCTTCCGGCAGAGCAGGGAGCCGGATGCGGGTCTTGATCCCAGGACCCCGGGACCATGACCTGACTGAGCCGAAGGCAGACGCTTAACGACGGAGCCACCCAGGCGCCCCAGTATTTTCATCTTTGAAGCTTATTTCACTTTGGTGAATAAACCGGTCCCTTTATGTATTCATTGTAATTTTTAACTTTTTAACCAGTGAACTTCAAAAATACTTAAAATTGGTTGGAAGAGTTAAGGAAACTTACTTTCTTTACTAAATTTTCCTTAAATTAGTTGATGTTAAGGACCTTCCCTCCAGCCAGTGTCATTAGTATTTTAACTTTTTAAATGTTTCTGTACTTGAAAAAAAGTCTGTGCTTATTAAGGTTTGGGGGTCCATGTTTGTTAGAGGTGCAAGTGAATCCCCAGCGACAGTATCATGTGTTTGTTTTGTTTTGTGTTTTAGAGAGAGAGAGAGTGAGAGCATCCACAGACAGTGGGGAGGGGACAGAGGGAGAGAGAGAATCTTAAGTAGGTTCCATGCCCAGCACACGATGCGGGGCTCGATCCCAGGACCCTGAGATCATGACCTGATTGAAGGCAGACGCTTAATCGACTGAGCCACCCAGGCGCCTCCAGACCTGATTTTTTAGAGCAGGTTTAGGTCCATAGCAAAATTGAGAAGGTACAATGATTTCTTCCGTACCCCCTACCCCACACATGCACAGCCTCCCCCACCTATCAACAGCCCCCGTAGACTGGCACATTAGTTACAACTGATGGATCTACACTGACACATCATAGTCACATAGAGTCCAGAGTTTGCATTATGGTTCACTCTTGTTGGGGTACATTCTATGGGTTTGGTGAAGTTTATTTTTAATGTAAGGTATGAAGTTAGTGCATTTTGTATAAATTGGAGGTCATTTTGGTTTTGAAAGTTAGTGTAGAGCAGGGGAATGGCTTTTTGATTTTATGAAAGTGGAAAGTTTTTAAGAGCCTTGGGATATGACAGTGAAAAGTGATGTCTTTATGTACAGTTATTTTCAGAAGATTCTGTAACTTTTGAATTTGAACAAAGGAGGGAAGACTGGGATCTAAGGCTAGATAGATTGCCTCTTCATCCTAAATTAAAAATTAATTTAAATTATTTTAAGTTGGCCCCAAATCAAAAGTTGACCTAAGATGTACAAATAAGTGAGATCCTTCACTTAAAACATATGAAAACATGGTTTGTAACGAATGGTCCAAAATGCTATAACTGTATCTGGGCATGTCTGAAATATTTCATTATAGGTGCGGTCCGCTAATTGACCTTTGCAAAGGCCCCCATGTAAGACACACTGGAAAAATTAAAACCATAAAAATTTTCAAGGTAAGGATTTTTTTTTTAATACAGCAGACTTAAGATGACCCAGACAATGAGTAATTTCAATCACATCTTTTATCATCTGAACATCACAGTATTGTAAAATACTTCATTATTTGATTTTTACAAAAACTTCTAAAAATACTATAATTTTTTAGATTTTTTGATAATTAGGACCTTACATGTAGTTTTGTTTATTATCTAAACTCACTACACATGTGACAATGCCTTTCTTTCTCATATGCTATGTTAACATGTTGTTCTGGGTATCATGGTTTTCTCGAATCACCCTAATGTGAACAAGAACACTTGACTGGGATCTTCACGTCCCCGATCCTGCTTCCTCTGCTGCTCCTCCCGTCAGTGGTGCAGTTACTCTTGGCCCTGCTGCCTTCCCCTACCTCACTTTCCTTTCCCACAATCCATACAGCAGACTACATCGCTTTCTGATGAATTCCGGCGGGGCGGGTTTAATTAGAATCAATTTTAAAGTCTTTCCAGTGCTACAGAAAGTCATCTTTAAGTAAAGCTATGTTGATAATGTAGCAGAAAATTGTGCACATATTTAAGAGCAGTTTTATTTATCACCAAATGTTTGGTGTGTTGACCCAATCTTGTTTGGTGCTTAGAATTCCTCAACGTATTGGGAGGGCAATCCCGAAATGGAAACACTGCAGAGGGTCTATGGGATATCCTTCCCTGATAACAAGATGATGAAGACCTGGGAAAAGTTCCAAGAGGAAGCCAAGAACCGAGATCACAGGAAGATTGGAAAGGTACGCCGTGCGTCCTAATCACCAGCAGGATGGGGACATTCTTTGGCCTATGATCAAATTGTTTGGTATTTCTTCTGCTCATGTCCGGTCTTCTGTTTTGCTGGCACTCGGAGTTTGCTGTTGCGTTCTTGCATGCTAATCCCCCAAGTGTCCTCTCACCTCTTTCCTTCCCGTGTCTTTTATTAAGTTTAGAAATCACACCATTCTCTCATTCTTACCATGATATAAAAATAATGTTTTAAAAAATTGTATGTACTTAATAACATACTTTGTATTTGGGAAACAGAGCAGAAAGAATGAACTAGATGGAAATTGTAACTGAGCCATTCCTAGCATATCACATGCATACAGTAAATATTGATCTATGGCAGTGAGATTTGAGATGCACTTATTGTTTTAATCTAGGAACAAGAACTATTCTTTTTCCATGATCTGAGTCCTGGAAGCTGCTTTTTTCTTCCCAGAGGAGCCTTCATTTATAATACACTTATGGATTTCATACGAGTAAGTTAACTTTTAAAATGTTTTTCTTATTCAGCCCCATTTTACTATTTTCTCTCATAATAAAATGGCCAAGCATTTTCATTAGCTTTAGTTTATGAATATTAATAATAATTTTTATTAATTAATTAATAAGAATATTAACTAATATTAATAAGAATTTTGTACCTAAAAGAGAAATACTGGGTTGTGCTTCAGAAAAAATTGAGATAAATTCTATATTCCCTAAATAAAATGCATTCTTGGGATTTCCGTAAGTGCATCTATTGTCCATATACGTTTCTAGAGCATGGAACAGTACAGAGATAAGCATTAGATTAAGTGTGGAACTCTCTGTGAAGGAGAAGAAAGGAGGAAGTGCCCTCTCTGGTACACAATGCTAAATGATGAAGTGTGGTTTCTCAAAATGTGGTCCCTGGTCCCCCTCCATTGACTCCCAGGTGACTTGGCAGCTCCATCCGGAGCGAAGGGTAAAGGCAATTGTGTAAAATACCTTCTTGTAATAAAGGTCATAGATTAGAAAGTCTTCATCGCTTCTCGGCCTTTTGGCTAAGATCAAGTGTAGATTAGAAAGTCTTTAGTTTACATCATTTGAACTATAGATACTGTCCAGAGATGATCCATGTGGACGATTAGGATTATGTTTCCTTTTTTGTGTTTTTTGTCTTTCCTGTAACTAATAATTACCTAAAATTTTCATATACTCAGTTTTATATCACTGACTTATTTACTTCTTATCACTTACTCATCCTCAAATTTTTCCTCAAAACTGCAAAACTCCTTACAGTGTATTCTTATGATTCAGGTAATGTCTCAGTAATTTTAAAAATGTGGTCCTCTTGTTCTAGAATTAACTTGCTACAAGGATTCTTGCCAACTGATGTCTTAGGACTTGTTTTATTCACCATTCTATCTATTCTCTTCATGTGTCTGCTATGTTGATTCTCCTCTTTTCTGATACTGTATCTTCCTCTTCCTTATCCCTCTCATCTGGGGAAGCACTTTCTTCAGTAACTTCCTGAGAAAAGGTTAATGGCGTGAGCTGGTTTTTCTCTGTCTGCCTCACCAGTCTCATTTCCCTTCCTTCTCTTGTGCTGTGTCCCTGGAGGCTAAGCTCTTTGGACTCTACCACCTGGGCTACCTATTTTCCAGTAGGGATTGGCCAGTGTGAAGCCATGGTAGGCCAGAGGGCCTTGAAGAATCACTGAAGATTATCTGAGACTTCAGCAGGTGGTGATGACCATGACGCTGCTGTTTTGGATGGGCTCTGCTGGAAAATCAACACAGCCCCTGGCGCCTTGAACTCTCAAGGTTGGAGGTTGAATTTTGGAGAATAAATAGAAAGCCTCTGTGGTGGCCTGAAAGGAATCTCTTTATCTTTATAGATGCAAGACCCACATGGCTGATGATTAGGCCTGATTTATATGGCCTGATTTGTACGGGCTGCAGAATTATAAAGGTATTTAAATTCACAACCCCAGTGGTCTCTTATGCTAAGGTAAGGGCACCTGTGGGAAAGAGTGGGTTCCTGAATTTTGGAATAAGAATTTTTGGCAGACACAGATGAGGCAGAAGACTTTGAACTCCCAGATACCTTTGTCTGAAGAAATTGGCCTTTCCATGCAAATGAAACAAAAATAAAAAACATTCAGGAACTTTACCTGTTTTTCCTCTTGATTTTCTGTTATATGATCTTGCCTTTTCCCATATTTAGTAATTTTTTATTATATCTAAATATTGTATATAAAAAGAACTTCAGAGGCTGTAGATAACTTCATCTCCCACTAGAGCATTTACCCCCTGCCAAGACTGAAGACTAATTGCTCAGTCCTGTTAAAGATTGAGCTGAGGGATGCCTGGGTGGCTCAGTCAGTTAAGCGTCTACTTTCTGCTCAGGTCATGATCCTGGGATCCTGGGATCCTGGGATCGAGTCCCGCATCGGGCTCCCTGCTTAGCGGGGAGCCTGTTTCTCCCTCTGCCTGCCTCTCCCCCTGCTTGTGCTCTCTCTCTCTCTCTCCCTCTCTCTCTCTCTGACAAATAATTAAGTAAAATCTTTAAAAAAAATAAAGATTGAGCTGAGTTAGGGCAGGGTCTCCATTTTGATAAGACATAGTCTCCCTTTTCTTCATCCATATTTCTAGGGCATGACCCTGTGGGGTTTCCAGTTGATAGGCTGGTCTCTTCAGCTCCAAAAGACTGGAGGAGAGTCAGTTCTGCTCTTCACATGTGTTCTACAGAGCAAAAGACTATTCCAAATCTCATCCAATTACTGTATTGGCTCAACATCTAATAATATGTCATCTGAATCAGGTCTAGGTGCAGAAGCGGCTCCTCAGGTGCAAAGTACAGATCACCAAGTGCAGTTCTGCTCCTCGTAAGATCTGTGAGCTAAAGGGGCAAGTTATTTGTGGGCCATCTCCCCCCACAACATTATAAAATAATGACAGAGAAATAGGATGCAGTGTGTACTGCCATTCAAAAAGGGGTGGGGGAAGGTAGTAGTCACTGATCTGTAGAAATCCTGACAACCTACTTGTTCTTTCTCCCTGGTCAGAAAATGTACTTTGGTTAGGGCTTTTGTCTCTGCATGGGTTGTGATTCTGCCCTCTGAATCATCCTTCCTTTACCATGAGAAATAGCCCATGTAGCCTTCTGAGTAGCTTTCTCAATATTCTCAATCTGTTTCTTTCAGTAGGAGTTTGGGGTTCCAAGGCCTCATTTCATTTTGTGCTGTCTCTGTCCCTTTTAGTTTAAGCCAGTACAATTCCTTGAAAAGCTTCATGGGGTCTTTTATATACATTTATAATCAACACTTGGGTGAAAATCACACCTTCGTCTCTTTATGAGCCAGATCATTCTCTACCTAAGCCTGTCTGTGAAGCTGATGTGAGCAGTACACTTAAGATTCTTAAAAGCCTTAATGTTTGGGGCGCTTGCATGGCTCAGTTGGTTAAGTGTGTGACTTTTGGTTTTGGCTCAAGTCATGATCTCATAAAGAGACTGCTTTGGATTCTCACTCCCTCTCCCTCCAGCTCATGTGCACTCTCTCAAAAAATAAATAAAATCTTAAAAAAAAAACCTTAACGTTTAGCTAGAGAATCTACCAAGCACACTCTTAAGACTCTCAGAAGCCCTACCAGCTACTTGCGTAGATCATTCTGAGGTCTTCACAAGTGGTATACAGCCATACCCTGAAGAGCTTTACCCTAGGCCATGCTTTATGGGTGGGTGGTAACCTGTGTTTTTTCTTTGTGCTGAAGTCATTCTTACCTTGTGAGTCTGAGGATGCAATAGTTTTATTTATGAAACTAGCAGGTCCTGGCATTTTGATATTTCCTCTCAAAAACTTAATAGTACCCTGTTTAGTTTATATCTCTTTTGTATTTTGTCATAGGCAGCCATAAGAAGTCAGCTGTCCCTTTCTTCTCTCTGCCTAGACTCATCCCTAGCTACAGTCCATGAATTCTCTGAGTACCCTTTCTGTTTTTCATCACCTCAGGTGATAGTGTTACCAGTGTACTGGCACCACATAACAAGAGTCCCCTTTTCTTCATCCTCCAATATATTTTCCTCACTGTCCTTCCACGTCCTCACAGATAGTCTCTAGCCTTCTAGCTCCCGCCCACCACCTGGCCCCAAAGCAGCACCCACATGCAGTGCAAATTCTGGTTGTTGCAGCATAACAGAGTGTCCTGAAGCTTAGTTGCTTAAAATGGCCATTTTTTTTGGATTATTATCTCTAATGTTCTATGCATTAGGCTTATCCAGGTGGCTCTTACATTGAGTTCCTTATATGACCTCATTCAGATGGAGGCCAATGCCAGAGTTGCTGATTGAAGTTTAAGTTACATTTGTTAAAATGCATAAATCTGAAGCTCAAGAAATTTCCACATGTGTGTACGTCTGTACAACCACCACCCAAATCAAGACATAGAGCAGTTCCATCCTTCTTTAAAATATTTTATTTATTATTTGAGAGAGAGAGAGAGAGAGAGCAGAGTGAGGAACAGGGAGAGGGACAAGCAGACTCCCTGCTGAGTGTGGAGCCCAACACGGGGCTCGATCCCACAACCCTGCGATCATGACCTGAGCCAAAATCAAGAGTTGGATGCTTAACTGACGGAGCCACAGGCATCCCTAGGACAGTTCCATACTTTCATAAGGCCCTCTTGTATCTTCCCAGTCAATACCTGCCTCCCCTCTTCTCACCTGAGATGATCTTGCTGATTTCTATTAAGCATAGATCAATTGTGCCTAGTCTTAAACTTCATGTAAATGGACTCATACAGTATTAGCTATTGTGTTTCTGGCTTCTTTTGTTCAACTTAATGTCTGAGACTCATCCATGTTTTATGTATAATTTTTTTTCTATTGTTTGATGTATTTCATTTTGTGACTGTAGAACAGGGTATTTATTTGTTCTCCTGTAG